CACTGCTCTCTCACTGAACTAGAGTGACCAACTACCTCCAGAATTTTTATGTAAAGAACATGAAGACCTATTTGCTTAAAGCACTATTACCTGTGCTTTTCATTGCCTGTAGCCAAATGCATTCCTAATAGATACCTCTTTCTCTGCCTGTCTCTGCCTCTCTCACTCTCTCCAGCAATGAATCACTGACCATTTGCTCTTGGCTAATAGCTTTATACATATTATCACTTTTGAGCCATAAAACAACCCCAAGAGAGAAGTGCTATTATTTCCATATTACATATGCAGAAACTGGGGCCCAGAAAAGTTAAGTATTTTGTCCATAGTCACACAGAGCTTGGATTCTAAGCCAGACCTGTATGATTCTGATGCCAATACTGTATTTTTGTTTTGATGTATAAGATAGTTACACAGATGTATCTGTGATGCTCTCCATTGGTACAGTTCTGCTACTAACCTCTTGGATGTGTGCAGATCTAGTTTCTATGATTAAATTGTATGTTATACCATGCAAGAAGAGGAATGCACATATTTCTCTACATTTAGATCCTTTCCATTTGAAGAATTCATGGGCTCAACTTGGTTAACTGCAAAATTAGAAGATAAACATTTATTTTTGTTGCTCTATAAAACCACAAGATACTTTCACCTCACTGCAAACAAAATACTCAAGTCAATCCACTTTTTTTGACAGTGCAGATTTGAAAATATATGTATATATTGATAATAATCTAGAACTTTAGCAGGTGATAACTTTTTCTCTTCCTGGTAAAAAGCTAGGAGCTCTGGTGGCATAGTGCCTAAGACATTTGCCTACTGACCAGAAGGTTGGCGGTTCAAACCCACCAGCCACTCCTCAGACGGGAAGGTTGGGCAATCTACTTCTGTAGTGATACTGCCTTGGAAACCCAAGGAGGGGTTGCTATGAGTCAGATCCAACTCAATGGCAGTGAGTTTGGTTTTGGTTGGGTGAGAAGCAAATGAATACTAGGGTTTTGATGTATAAGATAGCTACGTGGATGTGTCTGTGAGAATCTGGGATGTTGCTGTGAAGTTGAAAATACAAATGTAGACCTTTCAGCTACATTTGAGATTTTTTTGTTTTGGTCAGTGTTTATTGCCAGGTGTTTCAGGATGTCACATATTTCCACTATCATACTATTTTCCCAATAGACACTGCTGATGGGTCTCATGTAATTCTTTGTCTGAACTCTCTTCTCTTCAGCATTTACTAAAGAATCAATGGGTTAGGGAAAGCAGTCTAGAGGCAGCTGTGTTGAAAAGATCATGATTTTGAGTCAGAAGAACGGTCAGACTTCATCTCACCCACTTTGGTCATATTATCAGAAGGGGCCAGACCCTGGAGAAGGCTATCATGCTTGGTAGAGTGTCAGATAAAAAGGGGAAGACCCTCAATGAGATGGATTGACACCGTGGCTGCAATGATGGGCACCAGAGTGGAAAGGATAGTGCGGATGGCACAGGACCAATCAGTGTTTCATTGTTGTGCATAGGGTTGCTCAGTTGGAGCCAATCAAACAGCACCTAGCAACAAAACAACATGAGATGAAATTTACTGTAAGTTTTCCCCTTTTCCATAGAATGAAGGGGAAAGACCTACTTAAAAACCGTTCTGATATTCAAGTGAGTTGGATAGGAAAGAACTAATCAAACAACCACCAAGTACTGGTTAATGGGATTGATGCCTGGGAAGTAACGTGGCCCCTGCTGTCAAGAATTCACTACATTCTCAAGCCTAGTGCCTTAAAAGGCAAGAAGCAGCATGAGTTGGAACATAATAAAATATGAAGCTTGATACATGTGGGATCAAGTTCCAACTCAGCTATCCAGATGTGGTGCATTGAATGGTGTCCCCCAGAACGATACTTCCAAAAGGTAACTCCTGGAATATATAAAAGTCACTGTTTGGAAAATGGGTCTTTGCAGATGTAATTAAGCTAAGATCCCAAGATAAAATCAACCAGGATTATCCTGGTGGGCCCTAAATCGAGTGACAAGTGTTTTTGTAACAGAGAGAAGAAAAGACAACAGAGGAAAAAGAAGAGTGTGAAGATGGGGGCAGAGACTGGAGCCATGCAGCCACAAGCCAAGGAATTCCTGGAACGACCAGAAGCTGGAAGAAGCAAGGGTTCTCTCCCCTAGAGCCCTCAGAGGGAATAACACGCCTTGATTTGGCATTTCTCATTTCCAGAACTGGGACAGATTAAATTTGGATTGTTTGATACCATTAAACTTTTGGTAAATTGTTGCCGCAGCTCTAGGGAAATAGTTTTGTTGTTGTTGTTTGCCATGGAGTCGGCCCCGACTCATAGCGACCCCTCCTTGGGTTTCCGAGGCAGTATCACTACGGAAGTAGGATTGCCCAACCTTCCTTCCGAGGAGTGGCTGGTGGGTTTGAACCGCCAGCCTTCTGGTGAGCAGTCAAGTGCCTTAGGCACTATGCTACCAGTTAGGAAAAGAAAAAAAAGAAAGAAGCCATTACCATTAAGTCTATTGAGCCTCGCGGAGACGCCATATGTGCGGAGTAGAACCGCTCCATACCCTTTTCAAGACTGTAACCTTTTGGAAGCAGATCGCCAGCCCTTTTTCCAGAGAGCTTCTAGGTAGGGTAGAACTGCCAACCTTCTGGTTAGTAGTCGAGTACTTGTGTTTGTGTCAGGGCTCCGGGGAACTAATACACCAGATTTTTCTTCTCAGGCGAGTTATGGAACCTCTCTACGCCTCAGTTTCCTCATTTGTAAAATGGGAATAATATTCTAACGGCAGGTTCACTTCCTAAAGTGGAAAATCAGGATAGCTGCAGTCTTAGGAGTGTACAGACACTAAAAATGGCATTTTTTGAGCGCCTATCCACTGTGCTAAGTACTTTGCATGTATAACTTAGCTATCTCTATTTTATTGATTAGAAAACCGAAGCTTGAAAGAATTTAGTAATTTCTCCAAACGCCACTCAGCTACCATGAGGAAAAACCGGGATTACAAATCAAGGTAACTCCCGTGATGCTCCTTTATACCTCTACGCTAAATAGCCAGAGAGGAAGTAAAGGAATGCATTTTTATAGGTTAGCAATTTCAATATTTGCGCAGCGTACAGGACAAACCATCTCTGAATTGAGATTACAGTGTCAAGCAAATCTCTCCATCAGCGACCAAGAGCTCTCCCGCAAGGAAACGACAGGGTTAATTACGTCACTTTCAGGAGCCACTGATATGTCTTCGGCCGTAAGGATCCTTTCAAGGGACAAAATTCTTGTTTGCCATCTCCATCGTGTTTCAAGATGAAATAGGCAGAATCGGACCAATAGAAATTCAGCATTTCCGTTTTTCCTCCGAGTCTCCTCCCACTTAAAACTCCAGTTCCGTTCCGGAAAGAGGAAGTAAGAGGGTTTGGGGGCGGGCCATGGCGAGAAAGCGGAAGTGGCGGCAGTGGACTGGGACCCTTGCGTGGCTTGGCTCCACATGTGCGGTGAGTGCAGGCTGGTGCTGGGGCCCGGAGGACCCGCGGCGCCGCGGGACAGGGCGATTGACAGTGACCTGACAAGGAGGCAGGACATTAATTCCACGATCCCTCTTCCCACCACGTGCCCTCTGCGTGCTGGGTGGACTGAACTGTTGTCACCCTCTAAAATCCAGGCCTGTGCGAGGTCGTTTAGTCTTTCTGTCACATGTGCAACAAACATCCATTCTGCTACAGATTCTGTGTTGGACAGTAAATGAAACACTCACTTCGCTTGGGGAATTTACAGCCTAAATGTACACTTGCAAATTACAAACGCTAAGAAGGAAACAAACTGGGTGCCGAGATGAAGCCGAGTAAAGACTGCTGTGCAGTGGGAATCTCTTGATATATTACAGGCAAGGGAGAAGCATGGTAGTTTTGGTTGCTATTTTGATAAGATGTTGTGTATAAATTTAAAGCGGAGTAAGGAAGTTATTGGTGATGGTTTGGATTCAAGTGGTGGGAGTGGAGCTAGAAGCTGGCAGGTAGGAGGTATTTATGAAAGAGATTCAACAGGGCTTGAATGTGGGAGACCAGGAATTGTGAAGATAATTTTTAGATCTCTTCCTTGAATGAGTGGTGTGCTACTGACTGAGGTGGGAGGAACAGGATGGGATAAATTGATGAAGCTATTTTTGTTCAGGAGTAGTTTACAGTGGAGATAAGTTAAAGAATTATGTTTTGAGTATATTAAGTGTAAGGTGCCTGTTAGACACACAAATGGAGGTGTCAGGTAGGTCTGCAGCCCAAGGAGAATTTCATAATGGAGATGTAATCTGGAGGTCATTGGCATAGAAATTCCTAAGCTTGGATGAGAGTATCTAGGAAGAAGTGTGGAGAATGAAGAAAAGATCATTAGGACAAAGACTTGAGGTATGTCAACATTTAGGTTGGTATTCGATGGTTAAGTAGCCCTAGTGATGCAGTGGTTAAGCAGAAAGGTTGGTAGTTCAACCGCACCCAGTGACTCCCTTAAAGATTACAGCCTTGAAAACCCTATGGTGCAGTTCTCTGCTATCACATGGGATGGCTGTGAGTTGGAATCAAGTTAGCAGCACCCAACCACAGCATTGAATGGTTACTGCTTTCAAAGCAAGAAATCCAATGGTAATATTGTCAGTTACTCATAACAGAGTCGTCCCAGTTTACAAGAAGTGCAAACACTGATACTTTTACTTAATGTAAATAATGGTCTATTTTGAGGTAATAACTGCTTTGGACTGTTGCCTGCAAATATATCACGTGGGAATCAGGGTGTATGTTCTTAGTATCTGCACTGGAATGGTGTTCATATTCAATTCTAAAATCTTAGAGCAGTGATTGCGTACTGGCTGGGCTTGTGTGGGAACCCATGCTCTCTTTGGTGATTTATACTCCACCAGGCTGCTACCGGGCTATGTGTGACAGTGACTGCTTACCAACTCCTTTCTGATGAGGAGAAATTCTGTGATCCTTTTTTGTTTTTGTTTTCCAGAGTTGCTATGATGGAAGTCAAAGGGAAGAAAAAAATCACTGGAAAGGGCGCAAAGGCATCACAAGAAAAAAACAGATTTCATAAAAGCAGCGGTAAGACATCCATACCTAAACAAGTGTCACGGCATGGTTGTTCTGGCCATTGCGATGGAGGTGGGGGATGATGGTGGGATGAAGGAGCGGGTAGCCAACTCCAGTCTGTATTCACAGGCCAAGACTGGAATGGAAATATTAGAAGGAGGTAAGTGTTAGTGTATATGAGTTAGTGTGTTCCCCATGAAACATGGAATATTTGAAACGTTGCCAGAATAATTAGGGGATGTGATACATAATGCTCACAAAAGACCTCATATCTCAGCTCAGCCAGTGATACTGCTGCCTGGTGACATTCACACCTTTTATTGTGATGTTTGGCAAATTGGGACTGGTTAATGCATAGTACTGGTCATCCGGATACTTCTAGTGTCAGGATTTGTAATTATGATGTCTTTATTATTCCATCAGGTGTCAGCTTGTATTATATAATGTAAATAACTAAATGTATGAGTTGCAGTTGGTTCAGTGGCAGTGGGTTTGGTTTTTTATTTGAAGTTCATCTCATTTCTTAGGTACTTAGTTTACAAGCTTTATTGACCAATGAAGGGTTTTATCAAATAATATTAGTATAGGCTTTGAAAAGAATTTTTCTCAAAACTAGAAAATTTGAAAATTTAACATCATTAATTTGTCTTTATGGATACTTTCTAAATTTTACATACTTTCTAAATTTTAAGAGTGTTGATTTTATTCTTTGAGTGCTTCTTGAACCACTGAAAATTTTATGTAAAATTATTAATGGGCTGGAGTCATAAAAGTAGAATTCAAAAAATGTGAATAAAATTCCTAATGTTTGCTTGGGAGCTCTGGTAGCATAGTGCCTAAGGCACTTGACTGCTAACCAGAAGGCTGGCGGTGCAAACTCACCAGCTACTCTTCGGAAGGAAGATGGGGCAATCTACTTCCATAGTGATACTGCCTTGGAAACCCAAGGAGGGGTTGCTATGAGTTGGGTCTGACTTGATGGCACATAACAACAACAACAACGTTTGGTTAAAGAATTACACCACATACATGTTGCAGTGGTTGTTTCTTGACCAGGTGGGAGAATTAGAGATAGTTTTTATTACACATCCCTACCTTCTAGGTTTTCTGTTATGAACTTACAAATTTATAATCAGAAAATAGGGTTTGTTTTGTCCTGTTTTGATTTTTTAAATCCCATTCTATCTAAAAGGATTAGTGTTGCATGTTTGAGAATAAAACAGAATACTCCAGAGCATGTAATTTTCTGTAACAAAGCACATTCTAGTGGTTTAAAGGAGATCTCTGTCCAAGGTTGTTGAATTAATAATGCTTATTGTTGTCACTAGATTCTAGTTCTTCAAAGACATTTCCAGGAAAAGCTGTTAAAGAAGGCAGACCTAAAGTGACATCTAAGAACTTTGAGAAGAGTGCCACAAAACCTGGGAGAAAGGGTGTGAAGCAGTTCAAAAATAAACAACAAGGGGATAAAGTACCAAAGAACAAATTCCAGCTGGCAAATAAACTCAGCAAGAAGAGGAAATTCCAGCCAGACAGCAAAAGTGATGGTAAGCACTGAACCCTTCAGTAAAGTCTGCAGAGCCCTTGCCCTGCCTAAGCCCTTGCCTGAACCATCAAGGCTCAGAATACTTCAGAAGTCTGTTAGAGACCTCTCATTCTTGTTCTTGAAAGGTGACATTTTTGGTGAGAAAGGAGGAAGGAGCAGGTTGCTTTAAATAACAAAACCCTTCCCTGGTCAACATTTCCCTCTTAGAGTTTGTTATTTCCCAGAACCTACTTGAATTAACGATGGAATTAGGCTACTCATAATGATGACACACAGTGGAGCATCAGTGGAACATTCAGTAGGTTAAAATTCATTTGTTCAACAAGTACTGTATTTTCTATTTGCTGCGCTAGGAGGTGGGGTTAAAAGAAAAAATAACCAGTAAGGGGACCAGCCCCAACTAAAGGACATAGTTATTGTTACTAGGTGCTGTTGAGTTGATTTTGATTTACAGGGACCCCATGTGACAGAGAGGAACTGTGCCATAGGGGTTTTTAGACTATAATCCCAGAAGCAGATCGCCAGGTCTTTTTCCTGTAGAACATCTGATAGTTGTGAACCTCCAGCCTTTTGGTTAGCAGCCAGGTGCATAATAGCATTGTGCCACCAGGGCTTCTTCTTGTTGTTGTTATGTGCCGTCGAGTCGGCCCCGACTCATAGCAACCCCTCCTTGGGTTTCCGAGGCAGTATCACTACAG